TTCAAAGGCAAGGTAATGTGAGCAGATTAGTTAATGCTTCTTGCCCTGGCCCTTGAGAGCAGGGCTGGAATGACGGGGCAGACAATGGCTTTTGAAGGCTTTTCTTTTTAAGATATGAATCAATGAAGCTGTACAAGGAGCATGGATAATGTGATCAGAATGAGAATCACGGCTTGTCTTTGAACCAGAGCAAAGTCCCTGACGGTGTTTACTTCAGGTCCTGGCAACAAATGGGAGGTGAAATGAATATATTAGCTTACTGGCTTTCCTGAGCAACCCCTGCCATACCCAGACCAGCTTCAGGAAGGAAAAGAGCAGCAAAGAGAATCAGTTTGGAAATGTCAACTTGTTTCCCAAAATCCCTGTCATTCTTGCTCACCACTGGAGGGTCTGGCTGTGACAGGGGCTGTGCTCCAGGGGGGAAGAGCAGGGCACAGGGGGTGAAGGGGAGGATGGTGACACTGGAGTCTGTTCAGGATCTGGGGGGATTTACCAGCTGGTTAATGCCTTGTTCATGAAGCCCTGTGGTGCTGGATCTGTCATTTACTTCCCGAGTGTCTCTTGCTTCATCTCTCCCAGTTGCAACACAAGGTTTCAGTTTCTTTAAATCCCAGTGTGGAACTGGGAGTTTTTGCAACATTCCTACTCCAGGAACAGGTTAATCTGGGTTGGAAGTGTTCTCCAAGGTTGTCTTGGCAGTGTCTCACCCTGCCCTGCCCTGCCCTGCCCTGTCCTGTCCTGACAGAGAGCCCTGGGCAGCACCAGCCCCTCTCCCAGGTCTCCTTTCTTCCTGTGGCCCTGGATTTCCTAATCCTTGGAGGTTTTTAGATTGTGTGGGTTGGTAGGGATTTTTGGGGGAGGAAACTAGAAAAACTGTCGGTTTAAGGTCATGGGGAGGTTGTGCTGTGTCCATCACACCCTGCCTGCTGCTGCCAAGGGTCTTCAGCCCATACTCCCTTCCCAGGCACCACCTCAGGGCTGCTGCTGTCCCAGTCCCAGTGCCCAGATGTGTGTGTATCCCCAGTCCCAGTGCCCAGGTGTGTGTGTATCCCCAGTCCCAGTGCCCAGGTGTGTGTGCATCCCCAGTCCCAGTGCCCAGATGTGTGTGCATCCCCAGTCCCAGTGCCCAGATGTGTGTGCATCCCCAGTCCCAGTGCTCAGGTGTGTGTGTATCCCCAGTCCCAGTGCCCAGGTGTGTGTATCCCCAGTCCCAGTGCTCAGGTGTGTGTGCATCCCACACCTCCCTGCTCAGTTCAGCCTGCTGAGCTGAGGCTGGAGTGGCCACAGGGTTTGTGGTCCCCTCTGGGAGCTGGGGGCTTGGGGCAGGGTCCCACTGGAAGGTGGCTCCTCAGCCACATTTGCTGGACTGGGAGCCCAGAGCAGAGGGACCCTGTTCCATGTAAGAAGGAGCATCTGGGCTGGTTTGGTTTAAGCCCTCACCACAGCCCAGGTACCCCAGAGCTGGGAGGGGACAGCAGCTCCTGTCATTGTCACTTTCCTGCATGTCTCTTCCCCGCCAAGCTGAAGACATGGAACTGGGGAAATCCCAGTTTCTCAGTACGTCAGGTCTTTCCAAGGAAATTTGTGACAAAGCCTTCCAGCAATGCAGACAATGATTGCGGGATTAAACTGGGATCACCCCCAAACTGGGATGGAGATTCAGGCAGCAATCCAAGCCCAGATGGGTCTGGGGGGCTTCTGCTGCCTGCAGCCCCTTTTCTCCTCCAGCCTGACCCTGCAGAGAAGGCTCAGGCCACAGGTACTGCTGGCACAGAGCTGGAGCATCAGGATTGCACACAGGTCTGCTGGGATCAGAGAAGCTGGGGGAAGGAAACCTGCAATAAGCACAGAGCATTTGTACAGGCTTTAGGCTAAATCCTTCCCTCCCTGGGTAGCAGCACTGCAAAGCTGTTTCCTGAAGCCTTGTTATTCCTTTTCAGGCTGGGACACTGCAGTTGGCAGCAGGGCTGGATTAGGAACGGGGAGAGAGAGGCCTGGGCTGCTGAGGGCATTGCTGGGTGAGCTGGGCTGGAAACCAGAGGCTTTGCTGCAGCAAAGGTCAGGGTGACAATCCAATATCTCCAGGTCAGTAGTCCAGAATGGCTCTGGGAGGAGAATAAAGGAGGAACTGGTGCCCTCAGCCTTATTCCACCCAGAATCCCAGGACTGTTCCTGTTCTGGACAGGTTGGTGTCTTGAGGGTCTGGAGGAGGGATCCTCACTGCACCCCTGGAACCCCACCAGCACCAGGGCCTTGGGGCAGCTCCTGCAGCTCCTTCCCAAAGCACTCCCTGATGGATCTCATGTGGTGTCTGTCAGAAGGTCCCAGGGAGCTGACATCACAAGGGACACAACAAGTGGCCTGTTATTTTCCAGGAACCAAATGACAAGGCTGTCCCCATGCACCAGGAAGGGTGGACTCAGACCCAAAGGTCTGGATTTGGTGTCTGCCTTCACCCCAGAGACAGCGGAGAAGTCAAAGGTGGGGATCTGCTATCATCCACATCCCACACACCGTGGAGCTGAAGTCTTGGGTTTTTTGCCTTTACCTCCCACTCAAGGATTAGGAGCCAAGTACATTTCTCATTGCACCCAGCACATGAGAGGAGGAGAGGCAACGTGGGAGGGCAAGGGAGGAGTGGGAGAAGCCATCAGCAGGTGGGCACAGACCCCTCAGGAACACGGCATGCCACAAGCAGAGGCTTGGAGGGCCTGGAAACCCATCCTCACCCTCTGCAGCTGGGATGGAGGCTGGCTTGAACAAACAATCGATCTCTTCCTGCCGTGCAGAAGCTCTGGGAGAAGCAGGTCAGGCTCAGCAGGGACAAGGCACCACTGTGTCACCCCTTCATGGGGTCAGGCCCACAGGAGGGAGCTGGGAAGCAGGAGGGCTGTGAGAGGAGAGGGATCAGGGTGTTGAATCCTCCATCAGAGAGATGGATTGATTTCTTCAGTACGGATTGTGCAGTCTGACCCCATCTCAGTGTCTGCACTGGCTGTGGGGACCGATTCTCTGTCCCCCTCCCCGAGCCCCAGGGCCTGGACTGCCCTGTCTGAGCTCCCCGAGGGGAGCAATGGTGTCAAGGCAGCATCTTTCTCCTTCTGGAACAAGTCTCCTCCTAACCCCAAGCCCTTGAGAGCACCAGTCATGGGAAACCATGGAAACGGGTGGCAGGCACGTGACAGCGTGTGCCTGCACTCCTGCCCTTGATTTATGTCCCACGTCTGGGACCAGACGCAGAAATGCAGAGCTGTTGGCATCCTTTGGGATTCTGAGGCGGTGCAGAATCAGCCCTGCTTCACTCCCCACCTCCTTTTGGGGAGCAGGATGGCACCCGGGAACGGGCTGGGCTCCTGCCAGGGCCGGACATGAGAAGGAGGCAGAAACCCGGAAAAGGCTGGGGGATTTCTCACTTTTCTAATGTTTTCTAATATTTGAATACTTCTAAATTCAGACTTTTTGACTCCTGGTGCCAGGGAGTGAGGAAAAGCTCCTGCTGCACCTGGGCATCACGTGCCAGGCTCTGAGCCTGGGGTGGACTAAGACACCAGGTACAAAAGCTCAAAGATTTATTTTCTTTAAACACGCAGCAAGTGATAACCAACCCTCGACCCAGATTATCTCCCCAGTGTTCACACTGGTCAATATTTGATTTTTCCCCTTTTTGAAAGCACTTGCACCATATTGCAATTTTGCTCTGGGTTTAAGCTAAGTCTAAAGCACCTCTTCCCCTGCCCCTCAGGGGAAGGTGACAAGCTCAGCTGTGCCATCTCCAGCCCAGAGGGGTTTCTCTGCTGCCCGGTGACCACCTGGGGACACTGTAGTTAATGTTTGAGCTGGGGCTCATGGCTGCTCCTCCCAGGGGCTAATGGGCAGAAGGCAAATGCAAACTTGGTGAAAATCTGATGATTCAGCAGCTGCTGCTGGTGTTATTGAGCGATTCCTGACCTGTGGCAGGGTCAGGTTGGCCACACTGCTCTGTTGTCACCCTGGTGGGTTCAGCAGCTGGCAGCCAAGGGGCTCAGGGCTGTGTGGGGCTCCCGGTCTGTCCCAGCACATGTTCCCCAAGGGACCCACAGCGAGGGATCTGTGGGCAGCGTGTTCTCCACCAGCTCTCCTTAGCTCTGCAAGAGCAAATGTGCTGACACCACCAGTGTGGGGAGGTGGCCAAGGTTGGTTTGGAGGAGAAATACAGCAAAAAGCCTCGACAGCTCCGCAATAACAAATCTCCAGCCCCTCAGGGGGCTCAGCCACCCCTCAAGGCTGTCACACCAGCAGCCTGTCTGTCTGTCTGTCTGTCTGCCCTGGCAGCTCCGCTTTTCTCTGATCCCCCCAGGCCACTCGTGGTTATTACAAGTCTCCTTTAGGATTTTCCTGCTCTCTGTGCCGTGGGTTTAACATGCCGGGAATGGCATTTGGGTAAGAAGCAGCCCCGAAAGCACACCCACAGAGGCGGCGGGGAGCCCGGAGTGGAGGTGTTCCCTGCCAAGGAGTGATGCAGCCGACAATAAAACCTTCATTTCACGAGTGCCTTAACTCTGGGTGCCTTTCAGCTGGGTCGTGCCACGAGAAGGGAGAGCAAATTCTCAGCATTAAAGAGGTCCCTGTGGGACAGACCGTGATCTCTTTTAGGGGGCAGAGAGATTCTCGCAGTGGGGAGGCCTCCTGCCCCCCTCTCCACCCAAGAATTGGAGGTGAGAGGTCTGTCCTTCCAAACATCACCTCCTGCAAAACCAGGGAGTGCAAAGAGCAGAGCCGGGGCAGAAGTCGGCACAGCCAGAGGTTGGGCTAACTTTAACTCAGCACTCTGGATTCTGAATTTCCTCCGAGCTGTTTACAAAGAGCTGGAAAAAAAACTTCCAGCACTACCTCCCCCCCACCCCGTCAGCCCCGTCCTGATGTTGCCCAGAACATCTCTCTCATCCCTCCCTTTCAGGGAGGAAAAAAAAAAAAAAAAAAAAAAAAGGAAAGGAGGGAGGAGTGGGAGAGAGGAGGAGAGAGGGAGAAAGAAAGTGAGCTCACGTTCACACATTGGTGAAGAGGCTGGTCTTGCAATGCCTTTGAATATTTTACTTTTAGGCAGTTCCTCACCAGTCAGCCACACACATCCGAGGCGAGCTGAAGCTAACTACAGCCATGGACAGCACTAGGAGATCTCAAATCTAATCGCACGCATCATTCCTCCGGGATATTTTTTTAAATTCCATATCGAAACACGCCGACAGGCAGCTGCACTCACACACACACACACACACACACACACACACACACACACACACACACACACGTCGCAGAGCCGCCGAGCAAACACCTTGTCTCCTCTCGCAGGATATACCCGCTCACACACATCTCTCTTTATCTCCTCCTGGCTTCCCGGAGGATCCTGCCGGCTGTTTTTCATGGAGAAAGTCCAGGGAGAAATGGAGATTGAGAGATGGGAAAGAAGTGAAGAAATTTCAGACGCAGAAAAAAAGGTTATTCAAGAGATATGGAGCAGAGTATATGCAAACTGCGAGGACGTTGGGGTCTCCATACTCATCAGGTATTTAAAAACAAACCGAAAAAAAAAAAAAATAGGAAGCAGCAAATCCAACTGAATCTCTATATAGCTCAGAAAGAGGCAGAACAATATATAGAACTGAGTGGAGATGAATGACAGCGAGTGGGGAGCTGGCTGGGTGTATTTGCTGCCGGGGAGCAGGGAGGGATTCGCAGCGCTCCTCGGATTCCCACACCTTTGAGCCGGGTGGCAGTGGCGGGGGGAGCCAGGGGAGCCTTGTGGGGACTTTGGGGACCGTGCAAAGGTCACCTCAACCTGCGGCCGGGGCTGGGGGGGCGGTGGAGGCGGGGGGAGCCGAGCTCGGCTTGGGCTGGGTTGGGGGTCCGGGTTGGGGGCCCACAGGGAGCGGATGGCACGGGGCCGTAGCAGGCTGGCGGGTGAAATAATGCAAGTTGGGAGCCAAGATCAAACCCAAGCAGGTGTGTCTCCGAGGGCACCATCTGTCCCTCCGGCAGCGTCGGCGGGAAGGAGAGCGCTGAAGTTGGTGAGGGGCACGGCTGGGAGAGGGGGCAGGGGGGAAAAGCAGCCCTGGAGGGGGGTGTGGAGCATCTCCCGATGGCAGTGGGGCACAGCCAGCAGCTCCAAGCTCTGCACCTGCAGCCAGAGCAGGGGAGATGCTCTGGAGGAGGGGAGCACAGGCAGGTGGGGGTTCTTGTGTTGTATGGGAGTAAAACCATCTTCAGGTAAAGTGGGAAAGAGCCAAGTGGAAATCCCACAGGGTCCCACCGGCGCTGGGAGTTTGGGGTATCAGTGGGGTATGGCACCAACAGGCTGTTTCCTTATTGAAGAGGGCAGAGAGAGGGGGAGATGCCTGCAAGGGCCAATTGGCAAAGAGCAAAGATCCTGTCCAGAGCCACACCACGCCTGCCTGGGGTCAGCAGTGCTGGGATGTCCCTGCTCAGACCCCACCTGGACCAAACACCAGGCACCCCAGGCATGGGTTGTGTCTTTCCTGTTTTCTCCTGCACCAGGGGACTGTGGGTGTGCAGGGAACCCCTTGGAAGGATGTGCTGTTCACTAATAATCATCTGAAAGTTTTCCAATTGACTGAGCTAAAGCCCTGAGCCCACGGGGTCTGCAGGGAGCAGAGCCTCCCTGGGCATCACTATGAGCAGAGCATGTTCCCCTCCAGGCTCACTGCCAGCACTGCAATGGGATTTTCTTACCAAGACCCCTCTGCAGGTTCCAAAATGACATTGGAGCCCCCTCTCCACCTCCTTCACAAACATTTCCTTCTCTCAGAACCAGCTGATGGCTGAGCCCGTTCCCCCATGGCCCCCACTCTGTGCAGGCAGTCAGGGCAGTCAGGAGGTGTGACAGCTCCATGGCTGGGGACACCAAACCTACCTAGGCTGGGTCTGAAGCAGAAATGGCAGAGATCTGGGGGTTACAGGATTCCCCTCAGCCCCATCCCATGAGGTTCAGCTCATGGCTTGGCCACCAGCCATGCATGGCAGCACCTGGGTCATGCCATGGCCCCATCTGCCAGCACTTGCATGTGCCCACTGCCCACAGACACAGGGAGGGTGGCTGTGTGCCCACGGCTGGCACTGACAGACTTGTAGCAATGCCATGGGGGTTTCCCCCAGGGCAACTCATTGCTTTTTGAGTCCCCATGGTGTTTGGAGCAGGGCTGGGCATGAGGGGAATCGAGGTGTGGCGTGGGGACCAGGTGGCCGAGCTCTGGTCCCAAGTCAAACTTTCCCAGCAGAAGTTTTTGGTCCAGTTTTGGTTTTATTTTTTTTTTTAAACCGGGCAGAGTTGTGCACTGTGGTGAAGGTTTTCTCCTGCTGTGACAACAGGGCAGGATAGAATTACCTGTCAGGGTGAACCTTTGGGAGCCTTTACATCCTCAGTCACGGCACGTGCCCTGGCACATCCCAGCTAAACCCACCACTGCTCCCTCACCAGAGCTTCCCTGGGGTGCTTAAAGTGAGGTCTGGCCTTGTGCATGTCCCTGGGGACAGTGATGCCATTTGGGATGGTACAATCCCCTGGAGCAGCAGATCCCCCTGCACCCGCCTGGCACAGCTGGTTTGTGTCCCCCTGGTCACCAACGCTGTCCCCAGAGAGGTGTTTGTGCTGTGGGCTCTGAGCTGCACCTGAGCTCCCCGGGGAAGCACGTGGCAGCCCAAAGCAGGGCAGCCCTGGCCGGGCTGGCAGTGCTGCTGCTGCTGCCCCAGCTGTGCTCACAGCTGGCAGAGCCACGGGAGAAGTGGGTCACGCGTGGAGCCCGCCGGGAGCCGCTGCCCACGGCGTGATTCAGCAGCTCCAGAGGCCGGGGCTGGGGAGGGGGCAGTGGTGGGGTCGGTGAGAGGTGACCCCCCCCTACCCCCCCAGCACATTTTGGGTGGGCACACACACAGTGGGCATCGGGCTGGGAGCTGCCCCGTTCAGCCTCTGCTTCACCAGTGCCTGGTGTTCCCGCTCACCTCGCTAGGGAAACTGAGGCACAAAGGGGTTTGCACAGGTGTGGCCAGGGAGAAGGAAGGGGGTGCGTGGCTGTGGATCCTCCTTTGGTGCCACCCCCACGGGCAGAGTGGTGAGAGCAGGTAAATCTCTTTTAAAAGTCAGCTCTGCTGTGGTTGGGTTGTGAGCAGGGACTTGGCTGTGCCTGCTGGCTGAGGGTCTCTCCCTGCTTACCTGCTCCACCCTCTCTCCATGCCTTCAGAGCTGCTGAGAGCAGGGAATTACATTTGTCCAAGTGGGAAGGGCTGGAGGGGGGGGTTGCAGCACTTCTGAAATGAATCTGGGGCCTGATCTGTGCTCCAAGCTGCAGGCAGGGAGGCAGCAGTGCCCACCAGAAGGCAGTGATGGGGGGATCTGCAGTGCTGCCACCCTGCAGGAACCCAGCCCAGCTCCCTTTGTCCCTAACCAGCATCCCACCCCTCCACCCCCAGCCTTTCCATGCTTTGCAGGTGGGGAAACTGAGGCACAGAGCTGGGCATCACGTTCCCATCCCTCCTGGCTGCCCTGGTGCTTGAACCCACAGCAAACCCCCGAGGTCCTGCCCTAGCAGGATGAGTCCCTGACCCCACAGAGCTCTGGGACCCCGGGGGACACGAACAAGAATAATGGGGACTACGGCTGAGCAGCCACCGGATCCTGGGAATCTGCGCTCTGTGGTTAAAACTATGTGGCTAATTGACAATTTCCTCGGTGGGGAGCCTGGCCCCGGAGGAAGCAGAGTCTCCTCGCCACGCTCATCTTCCTCCTCGGGAGCACAGGGGCCTCTGCGGGCTCCATCTCTCAGCTGCCTTAACCCTTGCTGGGGCTGGAGCTGCTCAGCTGGGGCTGTGCCTCTTGGCTGAGCTGTTCCCAAGTGAGCCAGGGCTGTGAGCCCTGGGCTGGAGCTCTTATGTAGCCTCCCCATAACCCCCAGGCTTTGCTGTGCCTCAGTTTCCCCATCTGTTATTCAGGAATGAGTCTTTTTTTGAACCCTCTCTCAGCACAGAGAGCAGGGCACCCTTCAGGACCTGTGCTAGCCCTCGCTGTGCCTGTCCCTCCCCAGGCCCCCCTTTTTTCCTTCCTGTAGTTTTCCCCCCCTCCACGCAGCCCCCCAAAGAATCTGACTAGCTCAGAGATAAGGGGCTGTGAGGGGAGGAATACCAGGAAAGGGATAAATATTCAAAAGAGGCTCTTACCCCAGGGTGTTGGAACAGCTCTCTTTATTCTGTGGTGTCCATGGGAGAGCGGGGCAAAAAAGAGAGAGAACAGGAAATCTCAGGGGTCTATATAGGTTTTGGACAGGGTGGGCTTTCCTGGCTCCCTGCCAACCCCGTTGGGGCAGGAAGGAGGATTCAGGGGTTATCCTGATCAGTCACAGGGTCCCGGGGGAAGGGGGGCAAAAAGGTGCCCATGAGCTCACCGTAACACCTTCCCATAGTTTATTGGTCATACTGCGAGACAGGGCAGGGGGATGCAAACACCCAGGGTGTGGCTCAGCCCCCCTCAGCACCCCGGGGTGAACATCAGAGGGGGTTTGGGACCCTGTCTCCTTTGCAGAGCCCAGCCAAGCCCAGCACCCCCGGGCTCAAAGCTCAGCCTGTCCCGGCCGGCACGCACACCCGCTCCCACACCCACACACACGTACCACAGGCGCAGATGTGAGACCACAAAACTTTATGGATTCCATCAGGGGATAAAACCCAGGGGTTTTAGTTCCTATTAGATCCCAGGACCAAATGGTAATGCCATGCCAAGTGCAGGCAACCCAACCCGGCTCAGCCACCACGGGCTGTGCAGCCTCCACAGGGCTTCTTCATCACTCTGTTCCTCTGTCTGCACTTCAGAGCCATCAGCTTTCCAAATTTCCACCTTCTCCATGCTCCTGATGTGCTCTTTCCCCCTCAAGAGGTATAGGAGGGGAAGCAATAGGTTTGCCAGTGGAGGATCAGGCCCCTGGATTTCGACGGCGCTTAGTCTGAGCAACCACACCTGGATTCAGACACTTTGCAAAGAGCTTTAAAATATGAATGCACTCCTTGGATGCCAGACGTTATTGTGAGTTCTAGGTTAAAATAGCAAAAAATCTGAGTAATGAGTCTGGCAATGCAGAAAACCTTTTTTTTTTTTTTTTTAATTTTTTCCATATGAATCAAAAAAGTATGGGTTGAATCTACCCAAAAATGGCATTTAAAGAAGTGATTTTGCAGCTACCCCCAAAGCCAACATGTGTTTTGTGGAGGCGTCCATAGGGAAAGGCTCCATTCGTGGCTGATGAAAGACACATTTCAGGGCAAGGTGGCTCAGAGAGATGCAATATCTCTTTGGAAAGGGCCCAGTGAAGACCAGCAGCAGTGTCCCTGTGCCACGCTCATGAATGGTTGTGGTCAAGCTGAGGAAAGGTTTTTGTGGGGACAAGGAGAGCCAGAGAGCAGCAGGGCTCTGCTCTGCTGGCACAGGCACAGATAAGGGACATTTCCCAACCTAACAACCACTCTGTGAGCACTGAGGGGGCGAGTGAGGGTTTAATAAGCTCA